TAACCAATCATACATTAAACCATACACATTAAGTCAATATAAATACATTGCTCAACATATATACAGTATTTTTTTTTTAGCTAATTGTATTTTTTGCCTGGTGCTGAATTCAACATATTCAAAATGGGTGCATTTTATATGTTACATGCTTGCATGTTTACTAAATATCATTATTAGTACTTCAAACCATGCAAAAATGTTTAGTATGAAACTTTCATTTACATGTGTAATAATGATTGAACTAGGAACATTTCAAAGATTCCCATTTGTAAACATAAAAGGATGAGAGAATCTTTGCAATGGTTGTTTGCTACAACTACAGCATTAATTAAACTGCTGAAATTATTGCAATTGCTTTAAAAGTCTAACTAAGAAATTTTCAACTTCAATGCAATGGCATGCTGAAACTTTTGTGTACCTTCCTCTAATATCTGAGTACAAGAAAGATGCTCTCTTTCTTTTCTGAAATGTAATTGAGTTTTTAAACAAAGACAACGTTTTTGGTGTACTCCCTCATTTTATCAGACCATTTCGTATCTGTCCCTATAACTATAATTATCTAATTTAAGCATTTAATCTTCACGGTGAAACAGTAAATGCTCATTAATTAATGACAAAGACATACAAGCACACATACAGATACAGTATTCATACATATTTTTAAGTTCCACAGGAATAGAAGTTAAACATATTCTTGATCAATGACAACAAAAAAGGCTGTTATTTAATTTTTGATTTTATATACCCAAATTCGATAAAATATCATTACCTTTTGGGGGTCTTTCCTCAAATTATATTCTCCAGAGATCTAAAATAATTTATCATGACAAAATAATTCAGATATTTAATTGTGATTTGATTTTCAAAGTGCATGTATATATGACAGAAAGAAATCATTTTCTTAAGTATATCTTTCATAGTCAATTAACCATTTCCATATAACTTGAAATTTAACACAATAAAGCTACATGACTGCAAATAAATCTAAACAATGATTTTGTTGAACTTATACAACTGTTCATTTTTGTTCCCCATTCCTATTCAGGAGGTAACTATTTCAACAAATTCAAATCTACACATTAAAATAATGAAGTTTTATTTTCACTGAGTATTTCTCTTTTCTATAGCTCTATTCTCTTTATCATGATCATCTTAAGAGGAAGTGGCCCAACTTTTGATCAGACAATCTCCAATGACAAAATTAACCCAATGATGCTTATATTGTGGAACATTTGGTTTAAAATAAGCCTAAGTAAAGTTATTGAGATGTCAAAAAAGTGAACAAACAGATGGACACAACAATATGTGATTAGACAGCTCAATTATAGTTTTAAGCTCAAGTTGACTAAAAACATGTTTCTTTTACCTCTTTGACCTCTTGAATAGGATCACTGTCTAAAGCTGAATGCAAGTGACATACACAGGTTCTGTGAAAGAACTTTGGCTCAATACATTGCTCACATCGAACCTTAATGTAAAGAAATATATTCATTTTGTAATCAAAATGTTTTAATAATATTTGATAATATGCTGTTGAACAAATACAATCAACACTGAAAAAATTGACTACACAGTTAAATCTTCAAAATGCAGGAAATGTAGTACATGTACTAGCAAGCTATAAGACTTTGTATAGCAACTTATTTATTGAAAGACTAGTAATATTACCAATGGTCCCTTTAATGTTGATGCTTTTGTGAAACAATACCGGCAGTAGCAATCCAAATCATCTGTTGATTAACATGAAAGATAATAAAGTAATGAAAGAAATAATTAAAAAGTATCCAAAGTTTAAAATTTAATTTAAAAAGTTATTAGTACAGATATCATTTATAAATACATGTACAATATCTTATTCATAAGCAATTACTGTACCACTGTTTTTTAACAGGAGTTGCCCAATGTTTTTTCTCGCTTGCATCATTTCACTCTTTTGGATATTAATATCCAAATCATCATCTTGAAGCAAACACTCTAAAAACTACAAATGAAATAAAATGTTTTCATTTCAAATAGAAATTTGAAAATAAAAGGTATTTTCCACAGAATTTAATTTGGCTCTTATCTGTACTGAAATACGAAACTTGTAAAAGCTAGAATATGAATAAATAAAATAAGAAAATCACATTACTTGAATATTCTAAAACCTTGGTACCTTACTTAATTTAACTTACATTTGAAAATGTCTTAATGTTTTTGATTGTATAAAATTATAACTATAATTTCATTGCTTTTATTTCACTATTTTGAAGAATCCTTATATGCATCAACCAAAAAAGCATGGTTAAAAACTTATCTTGGGATGAACCTTTAATCTTAACTTTTAAAGTGACATAAAACTAACATAAAGTATTTGCTACTACCTTCAAGACTATCACTCCACAGGATGTAGAATCCCTCTGACGTGGATGTTTTTTAGCATGGACATACCACTCAGTGGTGGATTCCTCGATGCCCAAATTTTCTCTACCGAATAAAAATTCTCTGAAATATTTAAAATAAGGACATAATGATAAATAGAATATTACAGACTGACCAATATTTTAAAAATATAATATGATATATAGACTTACTTCCACTTCTCTTCAATTTGTCCTAGCCTGTTGTATGACTCTCCTAATGGGTTGATGTAATACAACAATTTATTCTGAGGTTCCACGTACTGAAAATATTTTTGCTTTAAAATAATTATTATACTACAATTGTAGAATGATGTACAAGTTTTTAATATAGAAAGCTTATACTCCCCATTCAGAAACTTGCGTAATAATGTTGTGCATAATCACCTTTATGGTTTATGAAAATTTTCACGCAAGCCACTCAATTGATGACATCATAAATCAAAAAATTCGACAGTTATATTCCTTAAATATTAGGATTCTAATCATTAATTCTTAAATAACATTAAATGCTTACAATGAGGCTCCAGTGGCATGAACCTTCATTTAGTGCACCACAAATAATATCAAATTCATCCAACTTGGGCACCTATTAAATAAACAAAAAATCAATGTTATATTCACTTATTTAACTCCACCTTTATAGAAGATAAATAATGATAATAAATCTAATGATTCATTTAAATGTCTTAATTATTACAGCTGTCCTATATTTATAAAGTCACCAAAGACATCAAGATGCCAACAGTGACTTCTTTCCATAATATTGTAAACAATTAATTCTTTTAGCTAGTGCAAGGTGTATTTAATAAATGTAATCAGACAGCTTAAATTGATATCTTACCTCTGTATTAAGGAAGCCATGCAACTCTCCATTCCCTTGAAATATTGCCGTCATTATAGGGCACTTGACATGATACACCCTCTTGTTCTATAATACATTGTACACATTTGAAATTAAACATTCAAAATTTAGTGAATCATCTGATGTCATATTGTATCAGCACTAATATAATTACCGGTATAGTGCATTTAATAAACAAAATTGCCATTAATTTATATGATAACTGTCAGAAAATTAATGCACAGATTGCAGTACCAGGTATTTAGGGAATATATATCTTTTACTTTGGTATTTGCAACCTTTTCAATGCTGATTTAGCAGTCGCAAACTGAGTTTATCAGCAAGCACACAAAAAATATGCCCCTATAAAAATATAAATATTGGAATAAATAAAGATGAATTAAAAAAGATACCTCATGAGAAGAAGTCAGCAGATATATGTAAACATCAATGATCTGAAAAAAATCATTAAAATTTTTAAAAATTTTCTTTTGAACTTGATTTAATTTCTTCTGCACCCTGGGTCCTTCCCACTGCATTTTTTAATGTGCCTATTTGCAATTGTGTTATGGTAACCTATAACTTGACAAAAAGACCTAAAAAAATATATATATATATCCAAACAATGTCATAATTAATTAAATAAGAACATCCAATGTTTTATTTTTTACCATTAAAAGAAAAGTAAACAGATTGCCATGAATTTTACAATGTCTCAACGTAATGGCCAGATACAAATTTTTTTTTATACTCAAGGTTATCATTTTTCTTTTAAATTTCTTCCCAAGATTTTCTTATCCAATAAAACAAGTTTTATTCTATTTTAAATACCCGGTAAATGTCCAGTCAATATCAATATCTTTTGAAATTAACCAGTGTTGCTGGAAATTTTATTTAAAAAATCTCTATGCCTACCTTAACCCATTAATTTCTAAAATCAGAAGTAGAAATAGGGCAATAAAGAAAGGCATTATTGGTTAAAAGTCAGAAAAAGATTCATACCTCGTCCGGAAGCATTGTTTTCAAACAATGAAAAGAAATGTCACTCAATTTGTGGTGACCAATTTTACAACACAGGTGTCCAACTGGCTTTTTTGCCCACAAGCTCTCAACTGTTGGAAGCAAAAAAAGCAAAGAGCACCTAAGAATTAATCTAAAAACTTCAGTCTATAAAAGTTAAAACAACTAAAAATACAAATTAACTATTTGAACTACCCGACTCATATGGAAGAAGTTAAAAATATACACTTTCAAAAACATTTTTTTTTTAATCAGCCATATTTCATTAGAAGCAAACAAATGGATCTAACATTCAGAAGAAAAATTCAACAAAGAAAAAAATGAATTTCCCTTTGATAACACACCTGCATTTTCACTCTTCAAGCTCTGCAAACATTTATTTTCTCCAACTTTCACACTGTCCTTTGAAGTCTCCAAATTTTTTTCTACCTGCTATTGATTTAATAATTAGGAAAAACCACCAATTTTACTTAATAGACATTCAATAATTGATTTAAATTAGTAAAATGTCAAATACATACTGGAGTATTAATCAAGCACATCCTGCAAATCAGAGATTTTTTGGATATGTTCTCAAATCCAATGCAGTCATCGGTCCTGTGGAATGTCCTTGCACACTTTTCACATGCGATCTGAAGAAAAAAATTAGGTTCATGCAAGAGTTCATGAGTAGCATTACATAAATATCTTATTTCATTGTCACATACATACCCATTTTTCCTGACAAGTAGTAAATCCACAAGAAGGACAGAAATCTGTTTGATAACCTTGAAAAAAAAATGTTTTAGACTGTAGTTTTTCTCGTTAAGGAAGAAAAGGTAAAATAATGTAATATTGTACGCGTTCATAAACTTACTAATATAAAGTTAACAAAGTTTAAAAGAAAGCAGTTACATGTCAATGCAGGTTTTCTTTGGTACATTTTTTAATAATAAAACATTCTATTAACTACCCTGCAATTATTTCTTTGGTGCCCATACTGAGTTACTGACTATTTCATTATTCTAATATTAATTGATAATATATACGATTAATGATATAAATAATAATTATCTCATTATTGATTGGACTACGTGCAAGTCCATGTATTTCTATTTCTCTAACATTACATATTCAGTGGGGGGGGGGGGGGGGGGGGGGGGGGGGTTTGAAAAATATTTTAATTTAAAATTCATGTTTGGCTAAATTTTTTACTTGTATGGAAAGTTCCCTTTCTTACCACAAAATTTCATCAGAGCTAATGCAATTTTTTCCCTTGCACACTTTAGTTCAGATCTTGGTATGTTCATATTTAGTTCCTTGCTGAAATATCTTTCAGCAAACTGAAAATGATTGGTCATTACATCATTACATCATGAGTTAATTGACTTGTAAACTTAAACAGCCACAGAAAGTTATTGAAAAGTTCATTTTCAAAATAAATAAAACAAATTGATTTTAAAATTATCTAATATACAAACATTATCTTCATGGATGTAATAATAGTAAGAACATTAAAACACACCATTAGGCAGTAAACTCCACAGTTGTAGCTGTCTTTCTGTTTGGAATGATCTGTTGTCTGTACAACCCAGTCTTTGATTTCCAGCTCATTGTACACTAACATCCTCTCATTTATGTACAAACTGAAGAATATATTTTTTTTAATTATACACCAAATTAAGCAAATCATTGAAGACCTCAAAACCAATTTTGAATATTAATGAAAACTTTTTGTCATTGAAAAATGATTAACCCCACATGCATAATTTTATAAATCTCAATGTAATGTTATGTGTATCATCATGCTTACAATTTCTATATGGAGTTGCAGCACAGAATCAATACAAAATTCATACAAATTCAAAGCCAAGCATGCATACAAAATTGTCCTTGTTATGTATTATTGCATGTTATGCTTTGATCATCCTGTTTGATAAAAAAGAAAAAAAATGTACAACTGATCAGAATCATACATCAATTATGTACCTTATATTTTACAAAACAATAAATGTTTTTGAAACAGAGAGTCATATTCAGTACTTTATTACTTTCCAAAATAATATACTTGTCAGTTCATATACATGCAAAAATGCATATCATCAATTAAAAAAAAATATTAAATATCCAGAAAGAGTATTTATCCATCACTACTAGTTAGCAATCCATAAATAAATCATGCTCATTCTGACTCTTTTAACAGCTTACCACCAGTTTCTTTGAATTTCTTCAATCTGTATTCTCCTCTCCGACATTGGATTGAAATAATTAACAATGCCCTCTCCCGGATTTATTATCTATTAAAATATATTTCAAACTTTATAGTATGTTTGTTTTGGAATGCTATAAATTATTGCTTTTTTCTTCCATTGAACTATATCGTTTTAAAAATAATTTCAGAAAAATTGAGAATATATATACTGCAAGTGTCCAATGTTGGTTTTGGCAAACAGCTCCAAGTATTGCGGAATATCCATAGAGTTTCAACTGTAAAGTGGAACAGTGTAATACAGTGTATTTTAAATTCATGATAGTTTCAAACATGGAACAAAGAATTTACAGAATAGGTGAACTTATGCATGCTTTTCACAATTAAGTTTTTGTAGATTGCAACCTTTCGACGGCAATTTCTCACAGAGAAGGTTCCACTCATTATTTGGGTCATCATCTGTGAGGAATACATGGTAACTTTGTGACCTTTCTCAATTTCCTTTTGAACAATCAAGGATAAATAAGCATCGATAACCTGCAATTACATTTGTTTATAATCAATCTCTAATTCATCTAAATTTGAATGAAATTTGTGCAAGAATTTCTGTTCACTCAAATCCCAGAAAATCATAACAATTGTAAATGCTAAAGAGAAATATTCACCTGATCTGTCAACCAGTTTATGCCATCAAGAGATCTTAAATCATGGTCTGTGACATAAAAATTGGACACTTTTCCAAAGATGTAACCAGAACCATTTTCCAGGCCCCAAACTTTCTTCAACTCCTTCAATGCTGTAAAATTATTAAAAAATCATAATATGTTAATCATAACCACTGCATGTTTCTTTATATGCTTTTGAATAACTTATTATTAAAATGTATTTATACCTTTACTATTGTCCATTGTCGACACCTTTCCCCTTCTGCTCTCTTCCTGTACATAATCAGGAAATCGAACAATCTTTTTTTCTTTTTGGTTACACTCATTCAATGTTTTCTTCAAGATTCCCTTCACAGCTTGAATGAGAACAATGCAACTGATAATATTGGGGTTTATATTTTTATTATATACATTACTTGTCTCATGAAAACTTTGAAAAAAAAACTTGATCTGTCATGTATTGTAATAATTGTGGTTAAAATCAGAGTGAATAATTTTTCATATTAAAATATCTGATTTTAATGATCATGTACCTGGAACTTGCAAATATATATCATCATCCTCAATTGTGATGACTTCCTCAGTTACACTGCTTTCTAAAGAAGAAAAAAAAATACAGGCATCTAAAGAAAAGGAAGCAAATGCTTGGCCCGTGTACATTGGACAATTAATTATTCACTGATGTCAAGTTTTCCTGCTTTTGTTTACCGGGTAATCAGAGTTTATTCACAAATTTAAATCTGTCAAGTTTTACATTGGTTTATTGAATCTTTTGTATATATGGCTACATATTAAATGAACAGAATCTTACAAAATGAAATGATTTCTTATTTTCGACCTACCATTACTTTCTGTTATGAGGTCATCTACTCCCTTTGAAGAATGATGGTACCTCATTCTTTCTGCTGAAAGGCCATGTCTGCCAACCCCTTTCTTCTTCCTCTTCGATAGAGACAACCTTCTGATGTTTGATGGCCTTGTTGCTATGTATGTCATCTTCTTATCTGGGTTGTCCAAAATAAATTCTGATGAGGTGGTTTTCTGAGGAAAGTTACTTCTCAGCATCTCTACATTTTGCTGTAAATTTTGATAAACTACTTGCAATATTTGAATATCCTTGCAGTTGTATGCATGATCTTTAATAACTTGGCAAAGACTACTTATGTTTGAGTGGACTTTTGCAAGTCTAGCCTTACTGGGCAAGCCAATATCATGGATCTGAGACTTTTCATCTTTGGTGATTTCAGTTTCATTTTGGTCATCTAAGAAACTGATTTCCTTTTCATGGTCATGTTCATGGGCTGGGAAGGAGTTGTATTCCAAAAGAACATCTGTATCTAGTGTAAGGAAGGGGTTACTTCTGTATTCTTCTGGAAGTTGTTCCCAATTCCACCCATTCACCTGTCTAAATATTGCACAGAAGTGCTTGCAAACCAAATGGTGCCTTGCCCAGTCATCGCAATCACATGATGGTACAGGGAACTCCTCCGAGAAGAAGTTCACACTATAAACCTGTGAACTTCCAGGGGATTGACTTCTCACAAGAAAGTGACCATCTCCTATATGATCAATGTCATCTGGTGGTATATTGGCTGATTCTTCCCATCTTGTGACACAGTGTTTTACTACATTTTTTGGCCTGTTTCTCAAAAAGTCTGGAACATTGGCACTATATGTCTTTGCCTCTTCTGCTGCTGTCAAATTTTGTCTTATGTACCTTAAATAATATTCTAAATTGTCAATGCTCTAAGCTACAGCTGTATGTGTAAACCAGTTTAACAGTTAGCTTAAGGACGTTCGATCCTGAGATTTTGAGCGTATTTTGGTCAGGTCCTTTATTTATAACATTCTGCATCATTTTTAATTTCTAACATTAAATCTGAATTCTACGATGCAAATTTAACTATATTTAATGAGAAAACCGCGATTAAATTCCATTCAAGTAGAATTACGCTAGGGACTATATTTTGTGGCGGAAGGTTTTTTAGACGAAAATGGTCAGTTTTTCCATTTTGAACTATAATAGTACTGTTAATTTTGGATTCTTATTTTACCATCCATGTTGCACACAAAGATGTTTTTTGCAGTGAAATGTATTATACTGGTTCTGAAATATCTATTAAATTATTTCTTATGAATTCTATTAACAAAGTGTGACAAATATAGTAATATATTCTGAAAATCCGGGAAAAAATTGAGCCAATTTTAACGTAAAATTGACACTTTCTTAGTAATATCTAAAAATTTACAACATATACCCCCACTTTTGATGTCCTTTTCTATACATTCAAGATAAATTTGACCTATTTGCTTAAAATCAGAAAAAGTTTAAGACTTTAAAATAATTTTCTTGCTTATTGAATTTTCAATGCCAGAAAAATCACTTTTTATTAGTGCAGAAAGGTCAAATAATTGATTATGCGAAGCAATTTAAATACTTTTCCTTAGTCACAATTTTTAAGTGTCTTTTTCTAAACAAACTTAGAGTTCATTTTATTTCATGCTGTAATCGGATAAAAATATTGGAGGGAAAACGTCCAAAATTTAATTTTTAATCAAGACACAAATTTCAGTGCAAAGAGGTCATATTAAATGTACTGTAGCGCCAAAAAGAAGCGTATTGACCCCCATTTTTTGATTTGAATTTTAATTTAGCTATGTATGTAGAAACTAAAAATATACTTGGCAAAAAAAGTTTAAGACTTTAAATATCAGGATCGAACGTCGTTAAAGAGCATCATAAACATTCACTCAGATAATTATTGAAATTTAAAGCTAATTTAAATTTACAAATTGTAAAGTTTACAAACCGATTCCATTAATTATTTAAAATGGTTTGCATTACAACAAAAATTTGTTTTTCGATAATTTTATACTACAACAAATATATTTGTAATATACACTAGGACCAACCTTTGGTAAGCATCGGGAAAAAATCATTCCAGAGTACAGTGAGAAGGTGGCAGAGGGATTTAGCTTTCTTGGTGTCCAGATACTCATATTTTAAAGATTTATTCTGTCTTTCTACGCCATTGTTTGTATTTACAGATGTATTGAACCTTTTTTGGCGAAATGCTTGAACCCATCGCTAAAATGAAAAATTATAAATTATGTGGCATGATTTTTTTAGAGTAAAAAGTAAACAAGCTAAAAATATCTTGTGTTTTTCAATATGAAATAAGTACAATGTACTGTGAAATCACAATTCTGTTTTTGTGGAAGGGGTATAAATTTTTGTTGTTTTCAAGGTATGGAAGAACTCATGAATTTATGACCACCATGAAATGTAAAATATCACATGCATTACTGATTAACATTTTCAAACACAAAATCAAATCAAAGCAAACCAATATTTTTTCCCCAAACCTTGAAAATCTAACCCCCCAAAATATATCAGATTTTACAGTTTATTTAATATCCATAACCTTGTGTTTGTTCAGCCACCTGCTTTCAAACCATCTTCTAAATCTGGTGTTGTCCTCCCAAAACTTACTTTCCTGTACAAAATTCATCAAAAAAATCTGTTCATTTATGTCATTAGTTTATGTTGGTGAATTAAAGTTTATTTTAATCTGAAAATATTTAGCATCATTGCAGTAAGTTTAAACACTGCAAGTACTAAACTTGGTTACAAATACAGGTTTAAATGTTTACTTGTATACATGTACACAAATAAAGAAATTTAAATATATAGAATTGAATATGAATTATTTCTTCAATTATTTAATTACTTTTTTCTCTTTCTTTAAAAATATACCTGTAATTTGGACTTTGTTACTTCAAACTCTTCTTCAGTTTTTGATCTTGCAATGGATCGTAGCAAGCTTAAAATTTCAGATTTGTCCTTTCCAACATCATTGTGGGAAGCTTTCAACCAGCGTTCCCATGCTTGTTCACGATGGAAATCGCATAAATACACTAATGCCTCTAAAAATTTCATATCTAAATTATTCACTTGTTTGGAACATATGTGACAGATGTCAGATGATCACATTAAAACATATATGACTTTATTCTATAGAAAACAAAATACTTCTATCATTTTCATAAAGCAAAACCAGAATTCACATTCTTTTAGATAAAATGGTAATGATTGAAAAAACCAACCTGGAAACACAGATTCAATTGAATTTATTTCCTCTTCAGCATAATCGCACATGAAATATGCTGGTTCCCAATCAGGATTCCAAGCTTTGATGATAGATAAGGCTTCCTGGATTGAAAAAGTGTCCTCTGTTTCCAGAATAAATGTTGCAACAGTCATGTAATTGACATTAGTTGGAACACATAGGAAGTACAATGGCAGGGAATACTTGGTGGTACGATAGGTAGCATCCAGTAGACAAATCTCGTTGCCATACCTCTTTAGAAGCTGTCTCTGCCAAGGAGTCTGATGAACATATAAAAACTTGTGGACAGCCATGTTTTGTCGATCATTCCTTACCATGAAGTCTTCATCAAGAAACACATTCTCATCAGGAACATCAATATCAAGATCTGTACATATGTAAAATAAATATTAATATTTCTGTATGTTATTTATAGATCATCTTCCAACTTAGAATTAGAACTGTCCAAAAGGGACAAATACCCCCTGCTGACTTCAGAGAAGGTGTCAAATCACATACATTTTTTAATATATGTGCTGTGACATTTAGATTACAAATACATGTACAATTGCTATTTATATCTTTTTTGTGAAACTAAGGTGCATCCTAGTAAAAAGAAAGGTAAAACTTTAAATTTGCACCATAAATACATTATGCACTTTTCTTTCAGTGACCTTGAACTTGCCTAAATGACCTTGGGACAAGGTAATGACACATCCTCAGGTCATATGAGCAATCTTTGTGAAAAATAAATTTATCCAGAAGAAAAATATGGACAGGAATGAAATATGTACATTTTTTTATTGACCTTGAAATTGCCAAAAATAACCTTGGTCAAGGTCAATACAAACCCTCAAGTAAAGAATGTAGTTCTAATGTTCCACCACAAAAAGCGACCATACATGTTTGCACAGACAGACAACAGGACAGGCAGACGAAGTGATACCTATATATAACCCCCCAAACTTTGTTTGCAGGGAATAACCCCCAAACTTTTTTTGCAGGGAGTTTAATAAATTAATAATTTGCCTTAAACATTTATCTACTGGGTAATACATTTGTCAATCTAACTTTCACTGGAAAATATACCTGGTTCCTGGTCTTTTTTGATTCTGATGTAGAATTTTTCACCCTTATGCAATGACCGTTGCTCTTCCACCATTTCAACTACCAATTTCTTATAGAATTAAATAAAAGGAAAGTTTGCATTCATGTCATACATATAGCGTTTTTTATTTATGAGAAAAAAATTCAAAAGCAAAATTTACATAACAAAAATCTTTCATTTCGTTAAACACTTAAGCCCCCAACCCACCCCCATCCCAAATAACTGGAATTTTTCAAAGTCAATGGCACATAATTCTGTAAAAAATGGCCAACACAACATCATGCCCAATACAGAACTGCCAGATATTCTGATGTTAAATCTGTGTATTAAATTTCCTGTCACTATGTGCATTAATAGGGCAACCTCTGCACAGAAAATGAACGGCAACAGACAACAGCAAAGCAAGATGCCCTCTTCTTTGAAGAGGGGCATCAAAAACAAATTTGCTCGTCAGTGTTTGATTTTACAGTTATCCAGTTATTCATTCAAAAATTATCTGCCAACTCAGTATTCATAGCCATGAATTAATACTGGCCGCAGAAAGGGTAAAAATAAAATATTTGAAAAAAAAATTATCTAGATTTTAATTAATAAGAATCATTATATTAATTAAAGCGGACTTAATCTGCAATTTGGTATAACTATACCTGGTCAACACGGCTATCTCTCAGTTTCAAAAACTGCGCTGCCATGTGATTGTAGATATCCTTGAGTGATGGCCAGAATCTTTTATTATGCTTTGGTGGAAGAGAAGCATTTGGAAAGATTGATTGTTTTAAAAATACCTCTAAAAGCAATTTCATTTTTAGGGTACTTGTCACTCCATGTTCAGAAACAACTTTCTTTATGTAATCTGATAGTCTTTTGTCCATTGGCTGGAGGATACAGGATGCCTGATAAATAAATGTATATTATTTTAAAAAGTATCGAAGTTATTCTGTTCACAATAAACTTTAAGAGGTTAAAAATCTCTGATAAGACTATAGCTCTACTGGTTTGTACTTATAACATTATGGAGGAGAAAAGTAGCACTCAGATTTGAAAACTTTAATAAGCAATACATAGGGTAATGATCCTTGATTATTCTCTTTTTGTAGCAATATCTATTGCAATCAGAAAATATGCCATGAAACTTTAATACCTTAAAAGTAGTTTATTTGTAAGGTAAGGTCCTGATAGTGTAGCAGAATTGAAAAGTAATACATGTACCATTAAAATTTTACTTATTTACCTCTCCTTTCAGATGGTTTCTATGATCTTTAACATCAGGAAACTGTACATAAAAACGATGTTCAATTTTCTCTGCTTGTGAATTCTTAAAGTCTTCTTTAAGAATCTTCACCAGTTTCTTCTGATGATAACGTGTATTTTCTTCACCAGACAGCTTTAAAACAAAATTGGGTCTTGTATAAATTAAATTTGTGTCAACAAACAACTTAGACAGTTTAAGTTTAAAATTATGTTGTATTATGCAATATCAAAAACATATGTACAAACAAATCACAAGTAATATACATATTAAACAAAATACTTTGCGAAAGGGCAAACCCAGCTATGCAAGATACATGAAGGCCTCAGAATCATGTGGCATACTAAAAGGTCCACTTGAGCAGAACAGTAAGGTGTGCTATTCTGCCAAGTGGTAGTAAGCTGCATATTCTGATGTGATCTCAGACTCCGTTTGATGTTTGAGGTGTCAAACAGTACTGCAGTACCCGGAAGTAGAGCTGAGAGAAGTCTGGTCATCTCAGTGGAGAGCCAGCTGGCATACTCCGTGACTCGTTGAGTATGATGAGTTGAGGCGTCAAACTGATATACTCGGGAGACTTGTAACGTTAGATTTAGCAAAGCAAATGACCTGACGGATGAAACAGTAGGGAGTCTGTTTCCTGTTTCCTGAATATATTTACAATTCACATGCATTGATACAATTTTCTGCAATCTATAATGCACATTAATACCTACTGAATAGCTTGAGAACTTCACAACATGACGAATCTTTATTCGAACAGGACATGCTTTCTTTTTGCTGTTCTGCACCAATCTACGCTTTCGTTTGTACATGTGGTCAGACTAAAGAAAAAGAGCTATGGTGATATAAATATTCAATGGATGGGTAATGTTCTTAAGGGGTGTATGTTGAACCATGAATGGAGTATGTTGAACAGTGAGTGGATTATGTTATTTAGTGCCTGGAGTATGTTGAACTGTGACTGGGTTATGTTGTTATGTGAAAGGAGTATGTTGAACCTGGACTGGGTTATGTTGTTTAGTGCCTGGAGTATGTCGAACCAGGACTGGGTTATGTTGTTTAGTGAATGGAGTATGTTGAACCGAGACTAGGTTATGTTGTTAAGTGAATGCAGTATAATGAACCAAGACTGGGTTATGTTGTTTAGTGCCTGGAGTGTGTTGAACTGTGACTGGGTTATGTTGTTAAGTGAATGAAGTATGTTGAACCAAGACTAGATTATGTTGTTTAGTGAATGTAGTATGTTGAACCTTGAATGGATTATGTTGTTAACTGAATGAAGTTTGTTAAACCAAGACTGAGTTACGTTTTTAGTGAATGTAGTATGTTTGACTGTGATGGGGTTATGCTATTCAGTGACTGGGTTATGTTGTTTAGTGACTGGGATTGGTTGTTTAGTGCCTAGAGTATGATGAACCAAGACTGAATTATGTTGTTTAGTGCCTAGAGTATGATGAACCAAGACTGGATTATGTTGTTTAGTGCCTAGAGTATGATGAACCAAGACTGGATTATGTTGTTTAGTGCCTAGAGTATGATGAACCAAGACTGGATTATGTTGTTTAGTGCCTAGAGTATGATGAACCAAGACTGGATTATGTTGTTTAGTGCCTAGAGTATGATGAACCAAGACTGAATTATGTTGTTTAGTGCCTAGAGTATGATGAACCAAGACTGGATTATGTTGTTTAGTGCCTAGAGTATGATGAACCAAGACTGAATTATGTTGTTTAGTGCCTAGAGTATGATGAACCAAGACTGGATTATGTTGTTTAGTGCCTGGAGTATGATGAACCAAGACTGGGTTAGGTTGTTTAGTGAATATAGTATGTTGAACCAAGACTGGATTATGTTGTTTAGTGCCTGGAGTATGATAAACCAAGACTGAATTATGTTGTTTAGTGCCTAGAGTATGATGAACCAAGACTGGATTATGTTGTTTAGTGCCTAGAGTATGATGAACCAAGACTGAATTATGTTGTTTAGTGCCTAGAGTATGATGAACCAAGACTGGATTATGTTGTTTAGTGCCTAGAGTATGATGAACCAAGACTGAATAATGTTGTTTAGTGCCTAGAGTATGATGAACCAAGACTGAATTATGTTGTTTAGTGCCTAGAGTATGATGAACCAAGACTGGATTATGTTGTTTAATGCCTGGAGTATGATGAACCAAGACTGGATTATGTTGTTTAGTGCCTGGAGTATGATGAACCAAGACTGGGTTAGGTTGTTTAGTGAATATAGTATGTTGAACCAAGACTGGATTATGTTGTTTAGTGCCTGGAGTATGTTGAACTGTGACTGAGTTAGGTTGTTTAGTGAATGTAGTATTTTGAACCATGACTGGATTATTTTGTTTAGTGAATGTAGTATGTTGAACCAAGACAGGATTATGCTGTTTAGTGCCTGGAGTATGATGAACCAAGACTGGATTATGTTGTTTAGTGCCTGGAGTATGATGGACCAAGACTGGATTATGTTGTTTAGTGCCCGGAGTATGATGAACCAAGACTGGATTATGTTGTTTAGTGCCTGGAGTATGATGAACTGTGACTGGGTTAGGTTGTTTAGTGAATGTAGTATGTTGAACCAAGACTGGATTATGTTGTTTAGTGCCAGGAGTATGTTGAACTGTGACTGGGTTAGGTTGTTTAGTGAATGTAGTATTTTGAACCAAGACTGGATTATTTTGTTAAGTGAATGTAGTATGTTGAACCAAGACAGGATTATGCTGTTTAGTGCCTGGAGTATGATGAACCAAGACTGGATTATGTTGTTTAGTGCCTGGAGTATGATGAACTGTGACTGGGTTAGGTTGTTTTGTGAATGTAGTATGTTGAACCAAGACTGGGTTATGTTGTTTAGTGCCAGGAGTATGTTGAACTGTGACTGGGTTAGGTTGTTTTGTGAATGTAGTATGATGAACCAAGACTGGGTTAGGTTGTTTAATGAATGTAGTATGTTGATCCAAGACAGGATTATGTTGTTTAGTGCCTGGAGTATGATGAACCAAGACTGGATTATGTTGTTTAGTGCCTGGAGTATGATGAACTGTGACTGGGTTAGGCTGTTTTGTGAATGTAGTATGTTGAACCAAGACTGGATTATGTTGTTTAGTGCCAGATGTATGTTGAACTGTGACTGGGTTAGGTTGTTTAGTGAATGTAGTATTTTGAACCAAGACTGGATTATTTTGTTAAGTGAATGTAGTATGTTGAACCAAGACTGGATTATGCTGTTTAGTGCCTGGAGTATGATGAACCAAGACTGGATTATGTTGTTTAGAGCCTGGAGTATGATGAACCAAGACTGGATTATGTTGTTTAGTGCCTGGAGTATGATAAACCAAGACTGGGTTAGGTTGTTTAATGAATGTAGTATGTTGATCCAAGACAGGATTATGTTGTTTAGTGCCTAGAGTATGATGAACCAAGACTGGATTATGTTGTTTAGTGCCTGGAGTATGATGAACCAAGACTGGGTTAGGTTGTTTAGTGAATATAGTATGTTGAACCAAGACTGGATTATGTTGTTTAGTGCCTGGAGTATGATAAACCAAGACTGAATTATGTTGTTTAGTGCCTAGAGTATGATGAACCAAGACTGGATTATGTTGTTTAGTGCTTAGAGTATGATGAACCAAGACTGAATTATGTTGTTTAGTGCCTAGAGTATGATGAACCAAGACTGGATTATGTTGTTTAGTGCCTAGAGTATGATGAACCAAGACTGAATAATGTTGTTTAGTGCCTAGAGTATGATGAACCAAGACTGAATTATGTTGTTTAGTGCCTAGAGTATGATGAACCAAGACTGGATTATGTTGTTTAATGCCTGGAGTATGATGAACCAAGACTGGATTATGTTGTTTAGTGCCTGGAGTATGATGAACCAAGACTGGGTTAGGTTGTTTAGTGAATATAGTATGTTGAACCAAGACTGGATTATGTTGTTTAGTGCCTGGAGTATGTTGAACTGTGACTGGGTTAGGTTGTTTAGTGAATGTAGTATTTTGAACCATGACTGGATTATTTTGTTTAGTGAATGTAGTATGTTGAACCAAGACAGGATTATGCTGTTTAGTGCCTGGAGTATGATGAACCAAGACTGGATTATGTTGTTTAGTGCCTGGAGTATGATGGACCAAGACTGGATTATGTTGTTTAGTGCCCGGAGTATGATGAACCAAGACTGGATTATGTTGTTTAGTGCCTGGAGTATGATGAACTGTGACTGGGTTAGGTTGTTTAGTGAATGTAGTATGTTGAACCAAGACTGGATTATGTTGTTTAGTGCCAGGAGTATGTTGAACTGTGACTGGGTTAGGTTGTTTAGTGAATGTAGTATTTTGAACCAAGACTGGATTATTTTGTTTAGTGAATGTAGTATGTTGAACCAAGACAGGATTATGCTGTTTAGTGCCTGGAGTATGATGAACCAAGACTGGATTATGTTGTTTAGTGCCTGGAGTATGATGAACTGTGACTGGGTTAGGTTGTTTTGTGAATGTAGTATGTTGAACCAAGACTGGGTTATGTTGTTTAGTGCCAGGAGTATGTTGAACTGTGACTGGGTTAGGTTGTTTTGTGAATGTAGTATGATGAACCAAGACTGGGTTAGGTTGTTTAATGAATGTAGTATGTTGATCCAAGACAGGATTATGTTGTTTAGTGCCTGGAGTATGATGAACCAAGACTGGATTATGTTGTTTAGTGCCTGGAGTATGATGAACTGTGACTGGGTTAGGCTGTTTTGTGAATGTAGTATGTTGAACCAAGACTGGATTATGTTGTTTAGTGCCAGGAGTATGTTGAACTGTGACTGGGTTAGGTTGTTTAGTGAATGTAGTATTTTGAACCAAGACTGGATTATTTTGTTAAGTGAATGTAGTATGTTGAACCAAGACTGGATTATGCTGTTTAGTGCCCGGAGTATGATGAACCAAGACTGGATTATGTTGTTTAGTGCCTGGAGTATGATGAACTGTGACTGGGTTAGGTTGTTTAGTGAATGTAGTATGTTGAACCAAGACTGGATTATGTTGTTTAGTGCCAGGAGTATGTTGAACTGTGACTGGGTTAGGTTGTTTAGTGAATGTAGTATTTTGAACCAAGACTGGATTATTTTGTTTAGTGAATGTAGTATGTTGAACCAAGACAGGATTATGCTGTTTAGTGCCTGGAGTATGATGAACCAAGACTGGATTATGTTGTTTAGTGCCTGGAGTATGATGAACTGTGACTGGGTTAGGTTGTTTTGTGAATGTAGTATGTTGAACCAAGACTGGGTTATGTTGTTTAGTGCCAGGAGTATGTTGAACTGTGACTGGGTTAGGTTGTTTTGTGAATGTAGTATGATGAACCAAGACTGGGTTAGGTTGTTTAATGAATGTAGTATGTTGATCCAAGACAGGATTATGTTGTTTAGTGCCTGGAGTATGATGAACCAAGACTGGATTATGTTGTTTAGTGCCTGGAGTATGATGAACTGTGACTGGGTTAGGCTGTTTTGTGAATGTAGTATGTTGAACCAAGACTGGATTATGCTGTTTAGTGCCTGGAGTATGATGAACCAAGACTGGATTATGTTGTTTAGTGCCTGGAGTATGATGAACTGTGACTGGGTTAGGTTGTTTTGTGAATGTAGTATGTTGAACCAAGACTGGGTTATGTTGTTTAGTGCCAGGAGTATGTTGAACTGTGACTGGGTTAGGTTGTTTTGTGAATGTAGTATGATGAACCAAGACTGGGTTAGGTTGTTTAATGAATGTAGTATGTTGATCCAAGACAGGATTATGTTGTTTAGTGCCTGGAGTATGATGAACCAAGACTGGATTATGTTGTTTAGTGCCTGGAGTATGATGAACTGTGACTGGGTTAGGCTGTTTTGTGAATGTAGTATGTTGAACCAAGACTGGATTATGTTGTTTAGTGCCAGGAGTATGTTGAACTGTGACTGGGTTAGGTTGTTTAGTGAATGTAGTATTTTGAACCAAGACTGGATTATTTTGTTAAGTGAATGTAGTATGTTGAACCAAGACTGGATTATGCTGTTTAGTGCCTGGAGTATGATGAACCAAGACTGGATTATGTTGTTTAGAGCCTAGAGTATGATGAACCAAGACTGGATTATGTTGTTTAGTGCCTGGAGTATGATAAACCAAGACTGGGTTAGGTTGTTTAATGAATGTAGTATGTTGATCCAAGACAGGATTATGTTGTTTAGTGCCTGGAGTATGATGAACCAAGACTGGATAATGTTGTTTAGTGCCTGGAGTATGATGAACTGTGACTGGGTTAGGTTGTTTTGTGAATGTAGTATGTTGAACCAAGACTGGATTATGTTGTTTAGTGCCAGGAGTATGTTGAACTGTGACTGGGTTAGGTTGTTTAGTGAATGTAGTATTTTGAACCAAGACTGGATTATTTTGTTTAGTGAATGTAGTATTTTGAACCAAGACTGGATTATGTTGTTTAGTGCCTGGAGTATAATGAACCAGGACTGGGTTATGTTGTTTAGTGCCTGGAGTATGTTGAACCTTGAATGGATTATGTTGTTAACTGAATGAAGTTTGTTAAACCAAGACTGAGTTATGTTTTTAGTGAATGTAGTATGTTTAACCATTACTGGATTATGCTATTCAGTGAATGGGTTATGTTGTTTAGTGACTGGATTATGTTGTTTAGTGCCTGGAGTATGATGAACCATGACTGGGTTATGTTGTTTAGTGCCTGGAGTATGTTGATCTGTGACTGGGTTAGGTTGTTTAGGGAATGTAGTATTTTGAGCCAAGACTGGATTATGTTTTTAGTGAATGTAGTGTGTTGATCTGTGATTGGGTTAGGTTGTTTAGTGAATGTAGTATGTTGAACCAAGACTGGGTTAGGTTGTTAACTGACTGGAGTATGTTGAACTGTGACTGGGTTATGCTATTCAGTGACTTGGTTATGTTGTTTAGTGAATGAAGGATGTTGAACCAGGAGTGGATTATGTTGTTTAGTGAATGGAGTATAATGAACCGAGACTGGGTTATGTTATTCAGGGACTGGAGGATGTTGAACCACGCCTCGGTTAGGTTGTTTAATGAATGTAGTATGTTGAACCAAGACTGGGTTATGTTGTTTAGTGAATGGAGTATGTTGAACCGAGACTGGGTTATGTTTTCTAGTGAATGTAGTATGTTGAACCATGACTGGATTATGCTATTCAGTGACTGGGTCATGTTGTTTAGTGACTAGAATAGGTTGTTTAGTGACTTGAGTATGTTGAACCATGACTTGGTTATGTTGTTTAGTATCTGTAGTATGTTGAACAGTGACTGGGTTATGTTGTTAAGTGAATGGAGTATGTTGAATAAATACTGGATTATTGTTTTTTAGTGAATGGAGTATGTTGAACCAAGACTGGATTATTGTTTTTTAGTGATTGGAGTATGTTGAACTGTGACTGGTTTAAAGTTTAAAGTAAAGTTTAATGAATGGACTTTTTTTCTGAAGTAGTAAATAAATTATGCATACTTACATCTTCTCTTGATTTCATTTTTTTCTTTTCGTTGTTCCTTTTGTCTCGGTCATATCCCTGATGACATTCAAGGACTCTTTTACCCATAATGATGAAAGGGATGGCATCATATTCTATTTGGGGTTCAGCATTTCCCTGTGTGTCCACAAATCTAATATGGGCGTTATCAATTCTTCCTACATCTATAGCAATTGCAAAAGAAATTTAAGTGTGTATAAAGTAAATAGATTTTTAAAATTGATAATCTAGAGGAGGGTGGGAGTAATTGGAACAACTATATCGAAAAACTTTCATAAACACATGTTCAACCTGCATATATATAGTTTCATTTTCCAAGCATACCTCATAGGATATAACCATTGCAGGTCAAACACCATCGTCGCAAGCCACGGGTTTTGTGTCCGTTTGTGGAAATAGAATGGACACAAAACCCGTGGCTTGCGACGATGGTCAAACACTGATTTTAAATGTAACCACCTGACGCCATATCCCTATGCTTCCCGTGAGCTAAAGTGTTTACTATTTCTAAAGTATTAAATAAAGCATAATTGGCATTGAATAATAAAATATAGCCACAAGCTCTCACCAACATCTTTTCCAAATTCTTTGGAACTTTTTATACATCGGAACCTGGACGAAGTTGCATAATCATACTCCTGTAACAACTTGTCCAATTTTGTGGAAGATGTCACAAACCCAGAGTGTGATGTTAATTCACCATCAAACAGGTCTTTCCAAGTGTCACTATGGATACGAAAAATAAAAATAATGAAAATTAAATATTTTTTAACACCCCTCCTTTTTTCAAAAAGTAATCAAAATGGGTACCATAGTACCCATATTTTCAAAAAAACTTTATCAAGATGTTAACATTTTTCCTCAATACCGCATATTCACTATATTATACTTCATACAAATTCATACCCTGTTTCTTCGTCTATTTCATGCATCTTCTGAGATGAAAGGATAACGGCATTCAAAAGAGATATGCATATCCCAACCTTTTCCACGTTGGATTTCCCGCCTCAATGTCACAAAAATAAATCGGGTTCGGTGTTCAAGAAAATTATACATGTGAAAACCAAACCGGAAATAACATTCCCGAAATCCAGGACTAGGTTATGTTATAAGTACGATCTATCTAATTTGTGATATCCAATCACCATTAGGCTAACATTTAAAATTCACCTCGACCAATGAAAATGCTCCACGTTTAGGGCATAGGTTTTTACAGACGCAAGGTGTCGGTGTCATGCTTGTTATCATCTGAAATTTGGAAATAATGAAGGTAATCTTGCTATTTAATTAGTTTTTAGCATGCAAACCACGATGCAAAGGTCCTTCACATGTTCATTATTGCAGAGAAAGCAGCATAAAAATTTTGTACCCACGCCGATATCGAAAGTTTAGTCCGAACTTTCTCGAAATTATGCAGTTAATCTGCATTTTCCAAAAGTAATAAGTAACACCGCTCATCATAAAAGATAAGTTTATTCTCTGGATTTATCTGCGGAGACTTTATGAGTAATGCAGTTTAGAAACAAATTATGGAATCTAGCAGAGTAGTTTAGTTGAAAAACATGCATTACCTTCCTGTTCATCACTGAATTTTATAGGGACGTGACAAGCCCTCACCACAATTAAAATACGTCCCATATACTTGCAATTTAGCAAATCCTATTTTACTTTCTGATCCAACACATACTTTGGGTTTCCTTGAACAAAACATGGACATTGCTATCTTTGCCATCTCTTATTCGCAACCCCTCCTGTACCACTGAGTGAAATTATTACATAATGCCATTGTGACCCTCTATTTTACTTTTTGATCTAACATTTGTGGTCTTCCAGAATGTAGTTTCATTGGAAATTTACCATGTAATCCCTTTCAACTGCCCCTGCCCTAGATAGAACGTTCTATCGTTAAAATGATATTGTCCTACAGACGAGGTTTAACAATAGGATTCATTCCGTGTATTTGTAATGTAGCAAAAGAAATACTTTGTTTAATTTGATGGGGAATGCTTCATACCGCTTCACACAACTTAATAGCTAAGTAAATTCAAATCAATTTTCAATCAAAACTTGTGAAAAGAACAACTTTCAACAACATAAGTGTCTACTGTCATTTATTTTTATTTTCCCGAGCAGGTGAGCATGACCCGCGATCATACTTTCCCGCAGGAATTTTTACTCACCCCGGGCAACGGGAAAGGGTAATTCTAGATCCCTGACATACATACTGTGAAATCACAAATTGTCGTGGGGGGTTAATTTTCGTTGTTTTCGAGGTATGATGAGACCCACAATTTCATGTCCTCCATGAAATGTAAAATGTGACATACATAAGTAATCAATTCTTGACCCATGAAATAAAATCCCCACGAACCAAGAGATTTTCCTCAAACCATGAAAATTTGATCCCACGAAAATATGTGATTTTACAGAACGTATCGTGATTTGAAATTTGTTGTATGCCATCGCGACTCTCTGCAGAAGCCAATCAAATGACCAACGTATATTTGATTACATACGAAGATTTTTCCGCGAGTTTGCCCTAGGATGATATCACCAGTGGGTTTCTGAGATAAGTGGTTCTCTGAATTTTTTTTCACAAGATTGTTTAAGTTAAAATATGTCGTAAAATATAATAAAGAGAATACCAAAAATTTCTCAATTTTTGCATTTTTCTAAGCACCCGTGGTGGTTAATGAGGATTGTACGGTATTTTGTTTGTATAGTGATTGTTCTTGTTTTGTGAGGAAAAATTTATGAGTTGAATGTTTTGTACTAAATATGAATTCCATTGAAAATGGCAACTTTTAAAATAAATTGTTAAAATACTAAAAAGGAGTATAAAAAGTTGATTAAAACTTTCATCAGAATTGCACTGGAATTTCCTCTATTGCAGATGAAGTTGTATACGGTGTGTATGTTGGTGTTGGGGGTGTGTCTGATGGGGGCAGTGTTTGCTGACACAGAAGAAGAGGATGATGATGTTCAGGTGGAAGTGGAAGACGATGATGTCAAACCAGAAAAGGTTAATTATACTTTAAATATAAAGAGGTTAATTATACCCTGGGTGTACCCATCTGAAATCTAAACCCCAGAGAGGTTAACTGTTCCAAAGGTATACAGACCCACCCTCTCTCGATTTACTTCTATTGATTATGGGTTTGAAAGCCTTCATTCAATATATCAATAAATGCTGTATCTCATAATTCCTACATTTTCATTACTTACCTTATTACATTTCTAATAACAATTAGGAGAGATAGTATAATTTTAATAAAGATATCCAACACTTTCAGACAATTAAAATACTAAGAGAAGTTGCTCGTATAGTGTGAAAATGTCAAAAGAGAGATTTTGGATGTAGTTTTAAAAAGGTTTCATGACTATGCATGTTTATTTATTTTTTTGTCTTCTCTGAGTACAATGAATAATTTATTTTTTTGTAAACTATTTAAAATGGATTTTTAATCATTGATTTTCATTCACAGCCGAAGTTTGTTCCTCCAAAGATAGATAAGAGTGTTCACTTTGCAGATTCCTTTGACAAAAAAGAGAATTTTAAAAGGTAATCACTTTAAAATACTATTAACAAGTAAGTCAGCTTTAAAATCATCATTGTCAACATACCTACCTTGGTCTCTGTCATTTTTTCAATGCATTATATTTCTACAGGTGGACTGTTTCACAAGCAAAAAAAGACGGAGCAGAAGAATCCGTATCAAAATATGATGGTATTGGTTAAATGCTAATTATCATGATTATAGATACAAATTATCACATAATAATGCCATAATTAAAAAGAAAAAATAACTTTGATTTATAAACAGATACAAGGTAAAAATCAAGTAATACAAGGTAAAGTGAATTATAAAGTGATACAAGGTAAAGTTAATGACTTTGATTGACAGGTAAATGGCAGGTAGAGGAACCAAAGGACAGTGCTATAGAGGGGGACCTAGGATTAGTCATGAAGGTAGGCAGTCAAATGTTTGTATACTTAGTTGTTTTTTTTTTTTCAGTTCCACCTTTTATGGCTTTAAAAAAATTGGGAGGATAGCAATTGTAGAAATATATCTGTGTTATTATTGGGTATCAATATATATATATAATAATAAGAGATCAATTATTGCTGGTCAATAGGACATGTAGGGCTCTGACATTAACTTTTTTAGGCGGGTGCGTATCATTACCGCTACATTTTCAAAATTTTCATTACCGCTACATAGTCATTACCGCTACAGAAAACCTTACGTTACCGCTACATAAAAAAGTATACATTACCGCTACATTGCCTCTTTCGTTAGCCAGCCATTTATGTGTGTACAGTACAACCTATATATGTACATGCATAAGACCCGTCCCCCCTGCTCACCACGGGGAGGTGAAAGTAGGACTTTGAACAGGATGGGGTATTTTTATTCAAATCAACCAATAATTCGTCGAGGTCTGTTTTGCAACTTTTTTCAACTCTTTTTAACGCATCTCCACAATTTTGAAATTTTTTCTAAATTTATAACCATCGATAAGTAAGCCGACATTCCCTCGATTTGTAACAAACTTCTCAATGGTGGCCATAATGTTCAGATGACGCTAAATAATTAGTTTCGACTGCAGAGTTATTTATATATAAATGTACTCATTCTGATTAGATAGTGAGTGGATTTTGTTGATTAGAACTTATATACCGAACCATACCTGGCTAAAGCAATATGTAGCGGTAATGAGTTGTTTTTTGCTGATTCAGTATGTAGCGGTAATGAGTTGTTTTTTGCCGGAAAAGTGTAGCGGTAATGATCGGTCGAAAATCTGACAAAATGTAGCGGTAATGAGTTGAAATTTTTGGCAATGTAGCGGTAATGTTGACCTCCCTTTTAGGCACTAGACAAGATATTTCCCATATATTTGCTAGCCCAAACCATAAAAACACTATTCCTTATCAAACTTATAATCATTTTTGAACAAAAATGTTTTCTGCTCTATTCAAAATCGCTAGACTGTTAGATGAGTCACAACCAATCAATTTGAGTTACTTCAACTAAATTGGGACATGTAAATAATATATGTCAAGTTTTAGCTTAAGCTAAGGATAAAAATTGCGTCATGTGAGGACATTTACCTTTTACTCGACTAGACCACTCATTAACTGGATGGGATGGACTTGCATTATGTCAAACCCTGCATTTCTCTATTCTCACTATTGCCAGAATTTGCATCCTAAATAAAACCAGGGATTAATCTAGGGCATATTTACTACCGATATTCAGTGTTTTTCCCCTAGAGAAAATTTCCCCTGAAGATCTAATTTTCCCCTCTTGATGAGAAAAATATTCCCCTTATAATAATAAAAACCTCAAATATTTTTTTCCTTCATAAAAACTGAAAATTTAAAGTAAAATTTTTCAGTGTATGAGAAATATGATTTTACTTTGTTACTTTAAGCGCTTTAAATGGTCATAAAAATGCTGAAATCAATTGTCGCCCAAGCAGGGCTTGCCCTGCACTCACTTGAGTGGTTCCCAGACCCCGGCTGATTTTCCCAATTTCTCAAGAAAGGGTAGTTTCCCCAAAAACCTAGATTAATTCCTGAAAACAAAATGGAAAAACAGATTTGACGATGTAAAGATAGGAAAAAATTGACAGTAAACTTCATGATGTGAATATAATGATAATACATGTATATAGGTACAAAACTCACAAATGGAGAAATGTGGCAGTTCAAATTTTTCTCTTGTCATTTTTTAAATGGAATAATGTAACCTGTTAAATTAATGTTCTTTTTACAGTCCAAGGCAAAACATCATGCAGTATCCTCCAATCTAAATAAACCTTTCAAGTTTGATGGCAAACCCCTGATCGTGCAGTAAGTAAATAATAAACGTTAAAACTCGCCTAAAAATTACATAATTTCCACCTAGAAAAATCAAAACCCTATCAAACTATTATACCATGGATGTTACTGAATGACTTGAGATTCAAAGTGATGTTACTAACTGAGTGATTATTGAAGGTATGAGGTGAGATACCAGAACGGCATAGACTGTGGAGGTGGATACATCAAACTCCTGTCAGACGATCCTCTGTTAGACCTGGTAAGCTACATGTAAGATTAATCTATATTTAAAAAAGAAGGGGGCTACATTATTGCAGCTAGTTTAGATTATGATGATCTGCATTTAATTGTCCTCTCTTTTTCTGTTTTCCTTAAATAAGGGAAACAAATTCTCTGAAACAGCTATATGATGTTTGTTTTATATTTGTTTCTTTTTGTGCTACATTTGTATACATTTATGCATATAATATTTTTTTGCATTTGTAGCAAAAATTTCATGACAAGACCCCGTACACAATAATGTTTGGTCCCGATAAGTGTGGACTGGATAACAAGGTAGGGAACTCCTTATCTTCAAATCTGATTAAATCACTGTATCCAACACATGTAATGCATATATTTAGGGGATGGATGGTTAGTCTATGATAGAAAAGAAATGCTTAAATGAGGCATTTATAAAATCTTGTTTCATAGCACAACTTAGGCTTTCTTTTTCATTGAAAATTTCATCATCTTTGGTAAGTTTTGACTTCTACCAATGAAGAAGCCCAGTGAGCTTTCTGAGTGACAGCCATTCTTTGTCAGATATAATTCAGATGTTTATCATATTCTTACAGCTTCACTTCATCTTCCGACACAAAAATCCAAAGACGGGTGAAATAGAGGTAAGTTGTCCTTTCTCATTAAAAAAATGATACAACTTATGTAATAACTTCTCTGAATTGTTATATGGTTGATAATCAATATGTTAATGTGCTGAAATCCTGTTTTAGGAGAAGCATGCCAAGAAACCCACGGCATCTTTAGATACTTACTTTAATGACAAGAAAACTCATTTGTATTCTCTCGGTAAGGTTGTTATAGATCAGAAGTTTTCTCATCTAAAGTTTCTCTTTGCATACGTGTAATTGATAAAAAAAATTCCTTGCATTGCATGAAGTATTAAGAAGGCCATTTCCATAAGTGTGTACCTTGCCTGGTGATAAATGTTTGTTACCTCAGAAAATAAGGTTTCTTGAATCGCTAGACGAGTGACCTATATATTCCTATATTACATTTTTACAGTGGTAAATCCAGACAACACTTATGAGGTGTCGGTAGATGGGACTGTTGTTAATGAGGGGTCCTTGTTAGAAGACTTCAGGTAAGTCTGTTTGAGGAAGTGTTATCCTGCTCTCTTACTGCATATGTCACATGACTAGTTAGTATTTCATTTGTTGTGTCACTCTGAAATGTAGGTCTGTAAAAAGTCGTGAATGTAAGTAAGATGAGTAAATCATAATTCTATAAAGGAAGCATACTACTTGTTGCTGAAGTCATTCTGTAAGAGAACAAGTGAACAAGAGAATTAATGACATCATTTCTTACAGCCCACCAGTGAATCCACCAAAAGAAATTGATGATCCCAATGACAAGAAGCCAGCAGACTGGGATGAAAGAGAAAAGTATGTTACCTGACACTCTGTACAATAACATGTGTCTATAAACAAAACATTGGGAGAGGACTATCTAAGTTTTTGGAACTTGTGTCCAATCCCTTTGACATATTGTCAATAAAATATGTTCAAAACAAAACAAACAAAACATGATGAATACGTGTGTCAGCCATTCCTAATCTTTTGGTATTGCTTTATACTCAAAACAGACAAAACATCATGTTTATATTTCAACTATTCTTAATTTTTGTGCTTTTGTTCTTATTTTAGAATTGCAGATCCTGATGCAGAGAAACCAGAGGACTGGTAAGACAATCACCCCCCCTAAAAATTAAAATTTTACAAGGTACTGTTAAGAATTTTGCCAAAGCTCCCCGTAAAAGTTCCTTATTACTTTTAAATCACTATCTGTGTTTGCATTAAACAAGTTCACTTTTACTGTATAAATGGACTCTCTATTAAGAGTGCATCCTCCTACTTGATCCACCTTACAGTATTGACTTGCATATATGACAGGAATAAACACAAGAAATAGTGAGTTTGTTTTAATTAATTATAATTCAATTTCTATGGTTATGTCTGAGTTTTGAGGTTGATATTAACTAAATAAATCCAGAACTATAGTTTTAATTTGAAAAAAATCCTGCAAATATTACGTTTTATACGTTATGTCAAAAATTTTGACTTGAGCCTATTTCAGAGGTGTCTGAGAGGGGAACGAATGACAACTCTGCTTAGGAGATTGCTTATTAACATGAACTCTCTTATAGCACAACTCATTTTTCCTTCATATTAGAAAATCTTTTATTTTCTATCATAGCAGAGCTGCCAACCCTTACAAATTTGGCGTAAGTCTTACAAAATTAGCGTCCAAAATACGTCTTACGATTCCTCTCTATGTTCTTCCGATTTCGGTTTTTCTTGATCAAAGTTTACAATACTGGAATTTTCATAACTAGATGTCTACAGTTTCTACTATTATAATTAAATATTCTAAATCCTTACAACGCTTGCTTGTATCATCGTTTCGGTTTTAGAGGGCCGATTGCATTCATGTCTGATATTTTATTGTAAACAAAATGGAAACATGCCTTAAATTGCTCTTACTGCATGTCCATTTACAAAACATCTTCAGCGGCAGGGAGCTTAGGGGGTTCCCGGACCACACCTTACTATTTTTCATTTCAGAATGTTGGCAGCTCTGTCATAGAAATATGTTTGTTTTTCTGCTTTAACTAGGGATGAGAATGAACCAGAGAAAATTGTAGACACCGAGGCCACCAAGCCCGAAGGGTGGCTGGAAAATGAGAACAAGCTTGTTCCTGACCCAGATGCTGAGAAACCCAAAGATTGGTATGCATTTATTGTTATGACAACTTTTCTTATATTGTCAATGGGATGTTAAGCTCAAACAGGTGTTGTTTCTCACTTTGATTAATGCAAGTTCATTATATTGTTGGCATGTTTTGACCATTTGTGAGAAATAATTAATTTTTCTTTAGCAAAACGATGTTTTGAACCAATGGACAAACACCAAACAAATATTGTGTGTGTGTGTCATTGATCAAACACACAGGTCATAACTCATTTCTTTTAAGAATGTGAAGTTTCATACTATAAAATATTATATATACATGTATATACATGTATGTACATTTCTTCAATGTTAGCAACAAATCAAGAGTTTTTATCTCAGCAGGGTACCCATTTTGAATTGATTTCAGCATTTGGAAGGGATGATTGATTGACTCTTGCAGGGATGATGTTGATTTATTTGTCTGTTGTAGGGATGATGAGATGGATGGTGAGTGGGAAGCTCCTCTTATTGGTAAGTCTTTTATATTATAACCATGTATCATAACTTTGTATTCTTTTGTCAGTAACAGTGGAATTAAAAAAAACATAGATAGAATTGTATGTTAATATATTGAGGCTCTTTTTTAGAGAACCCATTGTGTAAAGATGCCCCTGGTTGTGGAAAGTGGGAACAACCTATGATTAAAAATCCAAAATACAAGGGAAAATGGAGACCCCCAATGGTAGACAATCCGAATTACCAGGTAGGAGACAGGTCAAATAAGTGCTTACATCATTCTAATTACAGAACTCTGTGTTAGTTAGGCCAGGTAAAATTAATCTTTAGATTCTCATCCTAATTTGCTAAAAAAATTGGGGCGGGTGGGCGGATTTTATTTTTTATTTTTTATAATTGTTAATTTATATATAGGCCTAAGTATCAACAAAACAATGGACGCCCCGTACACATTTTTTTTTCATTTTTTAATGCAGATATGAATAGATTTAATTCTTTTCATATTCTTTTAAATATTTAAAGAAAATATTTGCTTTAAAAATTAAATATTTATTGTTAATTAACAAATTATCAAGTACACATTTTACGGCACACCCTGAACAAAATGAGGTAGGGATACCAATAAATTGTGTATGCGTGACTTCTTATTTTGCAAAATCTATATAAATGTTCTAATAATTATTCTACTGAAAAATCTAGGCCTTCTCTTAAGTCTGTCTACGATGTTGTAGATTTTTTTTTTATTTCAAAGCAAAGTCACACAGCTGGAGATCGTTATATATAACTTGACTAGGTGTCATTTTCCTCGTCTATTTTTACTTAGTTACAATCTCTCTACATACTTGCTCCTGCCAGTGATGGTATCTATATGTGTTTATGCTATTTTTTCTCCTCTGCCTTCTCTATACTGACAAATTATCATTTCCTTACACATTTAAACTGCTTTTATTGCCGATTTTTCTCCATTCTTCACATGGCATTTTTGCTATAAATAGCAACACGCGACTTTTAATACAGACGGGAGATAACTCTTAAACTTTGAACCAAATTCTTACTGAATAAAAATACATGAAAATACCCAAAAATCAAAATATAAAACATCGGGGCGGGACATTTTGAGAGGGGCGGGCGGGGATGAGAATCTAAAGATTAATTTTATATGGCCTTACAGTGGGGGATCCACATTCAGTTTCACCCGACTCAAATGGAAGCACCCTGAACTCAAAATTTGTTTTACATATTTATCTGGATGGTTTCATGTCTTTGGGGATTACCCCCATATGTATAGTGACAATTAAACCTAGTTTATTTGATGTTGTAAAATATGTGAAATTAAATTGTATTAAGCAATACATTACACATACATGTAGGATTATATTGTTATGATAACATTTACATATACTAAAAATGGAATCTTTATTTCCAGGGTGTATGGAAAGCCAGAAGAATTCCAAATCCAAACTTCTTTGAAGATCTTTTACCTTATCAAATGAATCCCATTGTAAGTATAATATAATAAATCTAATAAAGTCATATAAAAGTCATAAACTTAAGGCTAATGATAAACCAAGATTTCAAACATCATTATTGTTCAATACAAATTTCTCTGTGTATGATGTATGTGATATGGTTTCTGACAGAATGCGCTGGGATTGGAGCTGTGGTCTATGAATGACGAGATAGTGTTTGACAACTTTTTAATCACTGATGATAAAGTAGTGGCAGAGAGGTGGACTGAACAGACATTTAATGTCAAGTCAGCTGCAGAGAAAGCCTCATCTGGAGGGGTAAGTTGTAAGTCAAGATGTGACTGAAAGGGTAAGTTAACTCGTCCGCAAAGATGTAGTGACACTGACAACTTGTGGGGTCAGTTACTTTTCAGTCAAGACATGACAACTGAAAGGATAAGTTACCTATTTGGCAAGGATATGGATATGACAGTTCATAAAAGTGTTTTAGATGAAAGGACAAATTGTCTCTCAGTGAAGATATAGTGACAGTTTCTGATAAGGCCATATAAAATTGAAATCTTGGTTCTCAGGCCCGCGCGCATCCGTTTTGAGATAGCCACATTGCCGATTTTATTATATTTTTGATAAAATAAAAAGTTGGTGTTGCGGAGACCAATCCGGGAAAAAAAAATTCCGACCTCATTTGTTTTGTAGTTTAGTATTCAAATATCACTTCCGGTAGCCATTTACAATGAGATTTTGGCTACTTCGTTTGAAAATACATTCGAGGACATTACCTACGATGTTTACACACTGTTAAGCAATGGATAAAGCAGAAATTTTGACCAGAAATGGAAAGTATATCTGTGATTAAAAAAATTATCTTTTTGTTGAAGAAAATTCAGAAATTAAAATAAAAAAAAAAAATACCTCCCTCATCTACTTTACTGCCAATAAAATGAAAAATAAAATGCCGCCCTCCCGCATCTGTTTTGGAGAAAATTGGCCTGAGAACCAAGGAATTAAATTTAGATAGCCTAATACCTGTAAGATAAGGCCAAAATAAAATTATAGTTTGTTTGGAATTGCCGCCCGCCTCATTGAAATACCCCCCGCTCAAAAAAATTTATTGGCAAAATATTGGAAATATTTTTTTTTACCGTCTTATGTCCGACATCTCCTTTTACAAGTTAGTTCGTTCTTCGAAATAGCTTTTTAAAGTCGGGTTTGATCTCACATAAATTTAACAACACCGGTCAATAAAACGCTTTCTTCGTAGTATTTATGATATAGGGAATATAGGTGGCGATTTGACAAAATGAAAGCCGCCAAAATGTCAGACCAAGTTGGATCAGTGGATGTCAAAACATTCAAGCGTAGAAGACCAGAACATTTATGCATCTTCATAAA